CTTAGCGCCGGTGCCCGCCGTCGATTCTCTTTATCGGTACCGCGCGCCCAAATCACGCTTTCCGTCGCCCACCTTGTTGCGATTCTTGCCATTTCTATACATCTATTAACGTACGTTTCCAAGTCTTTTCTCAACGTGTCATATGCGTTTAATTCAATCGGCAGTCAAGGTTTAATTAGAACGATCGAGGCAAAATTAGGCGCGTTATATTTATGAGATCAAAACTCGAAAAAACGTAATGCGAATTCTTTTACATTCCCTTTTTGATCTGCGATGTACGCGTTAATTGGCTTTGTTTTAATGAGCCTTGAACATTAGAGATATAAAACGTAATCTCGTATTATAAGGAAAGTTTAATTTTTGACTCATTAATTTTTAAAAATGTTATTTCGCTTTATTGAATTACGAATGTTGTTATTCAATGCTATTATTTCGCTTTATCGAATTAAATGCTTCGACGAGTGTGCAATTGTAATTTTGAACAAAATTAAAAGATACTAGTTGATTAGGCGTTAAAAAGTTATAAATTTGAATAATCATAGATAAAAGAGTCGATTGTTGTTCGGTTTAAAATAAAAATCGAAGAATGTTAATTTTTACTATGGTATGATACATCTGTCTTGTAAGAATGAGTTAACCATTTAATTTGCGCCCAATTTTACCATTCATAGGCACGGCAGTGGATAACGAAAGGGAAAATATTAACTATACCGATCTCGTACACGCTACATGATGTAGAAAGAGCTCGGCGAAATTTAATGTATGAAGCCTCGAACATTGGAATAATCTTCCAACTGTTTACTTTCAATTGTACCACATCGAACAATAACAAAAGGGAAAGTATTTTGAGAGAAGGAACGTATCGAGCGAGGTTTTAGTGGGTACCAGAATTTGCTAGTCACGGCACTGTGTTCCAATAATGTATCACGGAAAGACGCAATTTCCGAAAGATTCCCTAGTTCCCTCGTGTTTGCAGGCAGTTAGAATCTGCAAATTGAAAGGCTGTCAGATACGTTTTTCACGTTATAAATGTTGTCAATTTACCACTGCCTTAAATATGACGATACCGTCTAAGTAGGTCAGATGTCACAATATCTGGACGTCTTATTATGGGGCGCTTTTACACCAAATGTTGCATAACTCGCCACGCACGACTTCACCAAATATAACCGTGTAAAAACTATGACCTGACGGACATAATGCGATGTAATCCCTTTTCATTGTACAATACACTTGACTAACGCTTTCGAACAACGTTTGCAGCGCTATCTAACACCGATCAGCGCGAAATATGAAATGCAAAATTCTCACGTTTCTTCTCCTGTATGTTTTCCTGTAATAAAATGTATATTTCAAAGTATTTATAAAAAATTAACAAGGTGCAAGATTTCAACGTTTAATTAATATACAAAATGTTATAACAAACATACAAAATATTATTATAAATTTTATAAAAATATATATATAATATAATACTTTTAAAGAATTAATATTTTTTATAATTGTACAAAATTCTTGTTAGAAAAATTATATATTTTTCTGAGTAGCCTCAGAAAGTAGATAACGCGAGATTATAAGTCTCTGGATTTGCGCAGTACCTTCGTAAATTTGATAAATTTTTGCATCTCGCATCAATTTTTCTACCGGATATTCGGTGTTGAATCCAGCACCACCGAAAATCTGTAAATAATTTCGAATATGAAATGATTACTTTTACTTTTTAAAAAAGATAAATATATTGTGTAATAATAATATACTTGAACAGCATCTGTTGCACATTTGTTGGCTACATCACCACCATAACACTTTGCAATGCTAGCAAGATTTGTAGCTATTGGAAGACTACGATCGGCAGCCCAAGCTGCCTTCATCCATGCAAGTCTAGCAGTCTCAACACCGATCGACATATCTGCGAGCATGAATGCTACAGCTTGATGTTCTCCTATTACTTTATTAAAAGCTTTACGTTGTGTTGCGTATTTTATAGCTTCGTCAAGAGCTCTTTGAGCTAGACCGACAGATGAAGCTGCAACCTATGAAGGGAATAAGAAACAACATTTGAATATTACAATTTATAATTGGTTATCTTTAAGGAGTATTTTTATTGTCGTACCATTGGCCTAGTTTTATCAAAAGTTTTCATAGCAATCTTAAATCCTTCGCCTTCTTTGCCCAAAACATTTTCTTGTGGAACACGGACGTCTTCGAATGTTATCATTCGAGTATCGGAAGCTCTTTGACCCATGTTTAGTTCCTGTTTCATCATAAAATAGATTTATTTTGAAATTCTAAAAAATGCAATGAAAAATAATTTATTAAGAACAAACTTTACTTTTCGACCAGGTGTTACACCTTCATACTCGCGTTCTACGATAAAAGCTGTGAAAGCCTTACCAGCTGGAGCTTTTGGATCAGGATTTGTCCTTGCTAATAGAAAATACCTATATAAGTGATTATTTTATATAGTGAATATAGACATAATTTAGTGACAAATAAATTACTGATAAATTCAATATACCAATTAGCAACACCTCCATTTGTTATCCACATTTTTGTTCCATTAATGATCCATTCATTTCCTTTCTTTTCAGCCTTTGTTTTAACACCTGCAACATCTGATCCAGCTCCAGGTTCGGTAACACAATATGCCTATAATTTTTATATTGTAAATGTATTAAATTATTAGGAATTAAAATTTGATTATCTTACAGCAACAAGTGGTTCTTCGATAAGTCTTCCAAGATATTTTTTGTGTTGTTCTTTTGTTCCAAATGCAATTACAGGAGCTTGCTGTAAAAAATTTTAAATACCATTATTTTACGTAAATAGAAACATTGCAAAATGAACTTACACCTAATCCTGATCCTTCTAAAGCAGTTGATATTCCTGTACAGCCATAAGCAAATTCCTCTCCAACTAAACAACCTTCAAAAGTACCAACGTTCATTCCTCCTATAATAATAGTTTATATTTTTAGTTTATAGTTTATATATAAAATTTTATATTTTTTAAATTATATAAGTCTGTAACAATACCACAATATTCAGGAATATGTTTATTTAATAAACCCAAACTCCATGCTTTCTTCACAATATCCCATGGATATTTTCCACTTCTATCATATTCAGCAGCTACTGGAATGATTTCTTCTTTTGTAAATTTGCGAGCCAATTCTTGCATTTCTCTTTGCATATCATTTAGTTCTAAAGTGGGTATTATAAAAATATATAATAAAAGATATTTTTATTCTTACAAATATAACTATAAATATAACTAAGTTATTGTCATATTCAATTTGTTATACTAACCAAAGTTATATCCTATAGCATAATCAGATGTTGATGAAAATGTTCTCATCACCTTTTGATACGTTACACTTTTCATTATCTAACAAGGCATATGATATATCATTAATATCTTTAACAGCTCAAAAAACAATTTGCAGGGTTTGCACAATAATGAAAGTTATACATACTTATATCATCTGTAGCATTATTTAACTTTTGTATAAAATTTCATGTCTTGTAAAGTACTTACCGTTCGTGAAAACATTTTGATGTTTCTTTGTTTTTACTTTTAATTTTAAGAAGTTCTTTAATTTCAAACCTTTATCGGTATTGTTACTTTTGAACGTATTGAAAATTCACAAAGTTTGTACATAAGACATTTAATTTAAACGAAATCTTTATCAGAACTTTTAACAAATGCTGCAAATCACGGTCCTTGCAGATCAAAGTACATCAGCGACTACCAACTATCATTACTTATGAAATAAATACCTAAGATAATTAGTATTTGAACAAATAAGACTATGTTCATAAATATATTATAACTTACTAATTACATACTTTATTAACACTGTATGTTGTACATAAAGCGAAAGTATATATATATTGTAAATCTAGTATAAAGCTTTGGAAGTAAATAACTGAATGGTTATTTTAATATTTGTTATAACCTTTTTCTTTTGGTAAATATATATTTGTAGACTAAGTATGTTTCGCAGATATAATTTTCTTTTTATACATGAGACTTATTTTTTAACATGAAATCTTAATATCGATAAAACTATTTAAATACTAATTTTATATACATGAGAAGGCGCGAAAATTTTGGTCACTTCTTCGACATTTAAATATTTTCGAAAGATTTAAGAATTGCGTTAAACTGGATTTAAATTACTTAATAATTTAATAAGTGTTTATTTAATTAATTTACGAATAATAAGTTGTAAAAAATATAACATTATTTATGAACAAAATAACAAACTATAATCGTTTAAATTCGCATAAGGAAGGGAAATAAATCTACCAGTCGATGTTGAATCGTCTTTGTCGACCAAGTAATTAATATTTTTATGTGAAAGGTACAACATGAACTTAAGCTAATGTATGTAGAAAAGTAGCTGTGTGTTAATTAGTGTATTATGTATACTAATTTCATTTTTTTGCTATAATAATAACTAAAATTGATAAGCGACTATTGCAATCTCTCCAGCATGAAGATAGATATTCATCCATTAACAAACAATCCTACAGCAGCTTGGCGTGAACTGTCACAGCAGCAAAAAGTGATTAAAATAAATACCAAACTTCCAACAACTGAAGCAGCAAATGATAAAGTAAAAAGTTTAAATTACTTGTCGTCATTTTTATTACAAACATCCGTTGAATCTAACCTATAATAGCCAATATACAAAACTCGTATGGTATTATAATACTAAGGGTAAAAAAAACAATTTATTGTGGTATTTCATTATATTTTAGCTCCGTGTTGTTTGTATGAGTGATACTCATTCATTAACACCATTCATAAAATTCGATATACCCATGGGAGATGTGTTTATACATGCTGGAGATTTTACAAAATGTGGTAGTTTACAAGAAGTCATAGAATTTAATAATTGGATTGGTAATGTCAAATAAAAAAGCTCATTTTTTTAGCTTGATAGCATTAGTTGATAATAATCATTTTGTTGTAGGTAATTTGCCACATAAAAATAAAATCGTTATAGCTGGTAATCATGAACTTAGCTTTGATCCCACATTTACTCATCCCTTTTCTTTACAAACCAGTGGAAATCGTCAAAAACATACAGGGACCAGTATTCTTGACAATATACCTACATTAGGAATGTCTAAGGATACTCTTGCAGAAGCAATACAGACCGCGAACGTTAAAGAATATTTGACAAATTGCACTTATTTAGAAGATTCAGAAACTATAATACATGGAATAAAAATATATGGTACCCCATGGTAAGTATTTATTTCTGTATTATAAAGACATTTTATATATCATAGTTTCCTAATAAATTTTTCCTATACTTTAGGCAACCAGAATTTTGTAAGTGGGCATTTAATGTACCTCGTGGAGAAGCATGCCTTTCAAAATGGGAAATGATACCATCAGACACAGATATTCTTGTAACACACACACCTCCTGTAGGTCATGGAGATTTATGTTGTAGTGGCGTAAGAGCTGGATGTGTTGAGTTACTTTCTACAGTTCAAAATAGAGTTAAACCAAAGTATCATGTTTTTGGTCATATACATGAAGGTACAAAATAAAATTTTTTTTTATTCCAAATGAATTACATGCTTATAATTTTTAGGGTATGGCATCTCATCTGATGGGAAAATCATATATGTAAATGCATCAACGTGTGATTTAAATTATTTACCAAGTAATCCACCAGTAGTTTTTGATATAACATTACCACCTGAACATTGCAAATCATAAACAAAATTATAAAGTATAACGATAAATTTCGTTATGTTTCTTATGTACAAACGTATAAAAATTTCAATTTATTTATTCGTATATTCCTATAAATTTTTTGTATTACAATCTTATCTAAAAGAACAAAAATTACAAGGCAGATATAAAAAAATTATGATTTTAAGATAGTATCGTTCACTTGAAGATATTAAAAAATTGTTGAAAGTAATATTTAGCATACATTCTTTACAGATATAAAAATTTTATAATTATATCTTTATTTACACATAATGACATGTAAATAGAACAGTTTTGTACTTAGATAAAGTTTTAATTTATATTATTTTAAGAAGTTATCTCACAAATGTATGTCTAAACGAATTATAAAAACCTTGCGTACTATGTATTTTGAATATAGAAATTACACAATTTAATCATCATAAATTGTTGCACATAATACTATAAATTAAGTTACACATTAAATCAGATATTTCTATCATATTGAAGTGTATATAAAATCTTAGTCATATCAACAAAATATTTGGTATTGTAGTTAAGAAATATGTCATGAATAACTTCTTTACAATCGACTGTTACAATTTCAATTACAATATAACGAACAATATTTATTAGTTGTATTCCGTTCAATAGTGTATAATAATATCCGAGTATTATAATGCAACTTATATACCGTAGGTCAATATGTTATAATTAATAATAATAAACAAATCAACTTGATATTTAATTAGTGAAGTAAAAGCTTGTTTCAGTTAGATTTTATACATAACTTTTGAAAAAATAAAATGTTTCTAAATATTTAATCAATATATCCAAAATATTAATATTAAATTAATAGTAAAATGATCATGTACATAATTTTTCTATTATAGTAATAAAGAATTAAAATTGCATTTTTTAAAGATATTTATTATAATATCCAATTCATCAACAGGTAGCATTTTTTACTGAATTAAGAAAAATTTGCATGTAAACATTGCTGTATTTATATTGATTTATATTTTTGTATCATATTGATACAAAGCCAACAATAAAATCACTTTCCTCTATTAAATGAGACAATCATTTTTTGCGGTAATAGAAATATATTCATATAAATAGTGACTTGCTCGTTAATTTTTAAAAATTGTAGTAGTAAAAGATACTTGAAAATAATACAATGTCTTTTTGACATCATTTTTCTATTGTATACAACATAGTACACAGTGTATTAGAATATTATAATACATCATACTAGAGCTGTAAAAGTTAATTATTCTGATGTGCTTATCAGTTGATAAATTGTACATACATATTGCAAATTTTTACATGTTTGTAAAAAATGAGATATGCCTCTACGGCGTAATTAATTTTATATATATATATATATATATCTCGTATAAATGGCTACTTGCACTCGTTACGATACCCTTTGTCCTCATACAGTTTTACACAACTGTTAGGATCATTACTTCATTTCATATCGCAATAACAAATTATACAATTTAAGTTAAACAATATAATAACTATATGTCCTAAATGGGAAAATGATGTATTCTGCGTATTAAGTGACAATCTAGCGAAAATTTAATTATTTTTAAGCAATTTTACTCTGTAACTTCTTTTTGTATATATTACTTATTAACTTTTTTTCTTCGAAATGGACAATATAGTATGTTTTAGCTGTTTAATGTTTTACTTTCTACACATGTCTATCGAAAAAAAGATATGTATAGTTACCAAATTAAAAACGGGATATTGGTGCTTATCCCAAGTTGATTTTATAGGCAAATTAGTTTAAACTAAACTAAGAATAACAGTAAACAGATGTAAAAAGATTACATTCTCCTTACATAGTTTGAAAGAGTATATTATCAGGAAGATTTTCATCTAATACGGTACATTTGAAAACAGGTACGATACAGATTCACCGTTATGAGTCCGCCTTACAGCCTCAGCGAACATCATTGATACATCGATACACTAAAATATACCAATACAAGAATCAAGCATACAAATATATAAATATGTTAAATATATATTATAATTATTCATCTACCTGTATCTTTGGGCAATCCTGCATATGGCCATCTTGAGGAATGGTATTTGTTACTACCACAGCTTCAAAACATGCATTGTTAATTCTACTAATTGCTGGGCCACTGAAAATTCCATGTGTTAAAATGGCATATACTTTTGTTGCTCCAGCTTCTAAAAGCTTTTCTGCTGCATGACAAATAGTGCCACAAGTGTCGGCCATGTCGTCTACTAGAATAGCAACTCTGTCTTTTACATCTCCAACTAATACCATACTAGCAACTTCATTCGCCTTTTTCCTTTCTTTATGTATAAGAGCAAATTCAACATTTAGTCGATCAGCAATAGATGTTACCCTGTTGAAATTATTTTCCTTTAATATATTTGCTTTAGATTAATGCTAATTTTAAATTTTACCTTTTAGCACCACCAGCATCTGGAGAAACAATGATGCTGTTTCGCCATTCTATAATGTTTTCTTTAATCCATTTCAAAACAGCTGGTTCAGCAAATAAGTTGTCAACTGGAATGTCAAAAAATCCTTGTATTTGACTAGCGTGCAAATCCATTGTAATAATGTGATCAGCTCCTGCTACTGACAACATATTTGCTACTAACTTTGCTGAAATAGGCGCACGACTCTGAAAAAAGAAGATAAAATCTAATTTTAATCTTATGAAATTGTATGAATCTCTGAAGTCCATTTGCAACTGGAAATATCCTGCAATTTGAAAATATTGCCATTAAAATTTTCAAGACCTTTTAGAAAGCATTTTATAAGGTCAATAAATGAAGGAGTATATAATTCAAAATATATTTTTATAAAAGATATGTTATACAATAGAAAATTCTTTCTTTGGAGGGGACAAAATATGAATACAATGGCTATGTATTGAAATATTCGTTAAAAATATATTGTATGTGTGTACATACAGATAAAAACGAAAACAATATGTTGCAAATGCATCCCAGTTAGATTCAACAGGAAAATGTAAGTCAAGCAAAATTCAAACTTATAAATTACAATACAGAACACAGTGCATTCTGATACCGTAATTTTTCATGAAAACATTTAAGGACATTTGGGAAAATAAAATAAAGTTATAGAACTCTGCAGTTATGACCAAAATATATAATAAATATATTGGTGTACCATTGATATTATAATAACAGTGAAATTCTTTAAACAAACACAAATGCATTGTGTTCAGAAAGGTAATAGTGATAAAATTATCTTAATAAACTTATCTGTAATAAATATGTTTCAAAGAAGCTAATTGATGTTAATATTTAAAAAATAATATCTGTTTGCAAATCATTTTATTGGCATAACATTCTATTGCCTAAATAACACAATCACAATTTTATCTTGTCAAAGCACTATTTCATTAAGAAGATAGGCATTTCATGATTAGTAGTATACTTGGACAACAACATATTTAGCAACATAATAATTAGTACCCATATAACATACAAGTGTGTATCCCATTATGTGTATATAGATTATTAAAAATGTATGTAGAATGCTATTATATTAATATTTTGCCCTCTCATACAGGTATCAATATGCTATGACCAAATAGTTCATTCATTCATTCATTCATGGGGATATCATTGTGCTATATAGCAATATATATGAGTTTTGTTAGTCCTACAAAGAAAATTTTGTAAAAAACTAAGAATGATATAACAACTCAAATTGTTCATCGAGTTATAATTACAAACGTTACACTCGACAAACGTTACAATCTTATTGTTCTTATACTCACTGTAGAGAGGTCGGGCACAAAATCCTGAAAATACCCAACTATTCAGAAATTTATGTAAAAGTAAAATGAATTTTTGACAAGAATTATTTTAATAATAATATTTCTTCCTCATTACAATCTATTGTATTTGGAGATTACTTATCAAAGACTACATTTTGATAACAATAATAATTGTGTTATTTTAATTAAATCTTCATTAAACCAATATGCCTCCATTGTGCTTATTTCTTTATAAAATGTTGTGGCGACTTGTTATTAACATCTTAAAAAGGATACCAGTAAATTTATTAAAATAAATTGCATTCAGTAGACAATAATGGTAAATATTATAGTATGAATGCACGGAAGGCCCCCCTCGATGAATTGCGATATTAATTTTGCAATATTCATGTGGGTTATCTAACTTCTGATAACCTTCTGATAATTACTAAATACACAGCTTCAGTTACAATATATTTGTTGTTTACAGCTTTGCTAATTACTTATTGCAAAATTATATGAAATTTTGTTCCATTAATATGTACCACTTTGTAAAATGTAATGTTACAATATATATAAATATATTTAATATAATATATATATATTAAAATACCTGTATTTCTGAGAAATTAATTCATGCAAGAAGAATATGAGAGTTAAGTATTTGCATTAAACAATGCATATATCATTATTCCCTAGTATTTCATATCTTCAAGCAACCCCATAAAATGTATAAGATGAATGATTAATACTTTTTAACATTATATGTAATCCTTGATTTGTTGCATGCATACTATGTTATATATTTATATATGGAAAGAAATGTGCTAAACAGTGGACATACATATAGTTCCAGTGCATTGTTTCTTTAAATATGAAATTTTGCATGTATATTTACATGCAATGAATATCTAAATAAAATATTTAAAGTGTTTAGATAATATATCTGAAACTTTAAATCATTCCCTTGTAGAATATGTCAAAATTAAATATTAGTATTAATTCATGTTAGTTATGATTTTGTAGAAATAAGTATAATATAGTAAATAACGTAATCCTGCTAAACAAGACTACTATTTGGTATGACTCAATGATGTAAGCCAAAATATTATAAATATGTATATTTTGTATGATGATGAAAACTCATGTTTTGCGTTCCAAAAGTGATATTACTCCACTGGCCTGTTGCAAAGCTATTAAAAGTGAATAGAGCAAAAAAAGACCGCTACAAGTTACCCTGAATTTCCACTCGTTTGACTTCATGATAATTTGTTTCTTAGAATTTCTGTTGTCACGTCCATCACCACCCTGTGAAGATATCATATAAAAAAAATTAACTTTTTCTTTAGCAAGTCATATTTTCCTTATTATGGGGATCAAACTTTTCAGTACTCATAACTACAGAAGATATAAAATAGACAATTTTGATTAAAACCACAACTTATTAGATAAATTATTTGAAATATGTATATAATGTTATTATTATGTCAGAAGTGTTTAAGAGAAATAAGCACATAATAAATAATTATTTGAATAAAAATATATATACATGGTTAAATTAGGAATGTAACTATTATATCATTTTATAAAAATTATAAGCATAGCATTTTTCTCCCTACAGGAGTATTCACTTTATTTGCATGTGTAAAGCAATGTAATCATATTAATTGATAACATAAATCAACAAGATGACTATTATGTACCTAGAGTACTAGATTCACTAAAACATAGTTCCTAGAAGTTATTTTGTTATATAAGTGTTTTATATTTACACCTTTTTTATATGATTCATTTAAGGTAATAATTAATTGATTTTACTAATTTCTTTATATATAAATATGCATTTATATGCAAATAGGTACTTATAGATAAATCTACTGTTGGATAGTCAATAACGGCAAGACAAACAAGTATCACAGTACAGTGTAAATTAAATTTACCATCATACATTATACATCATATGTAATCTAAACAAACAAAATGTTTTGGTATAAGATTTCCACAAATATGTTTGTAAAATATAAACAGTGCATACATTTATCTTATAAGATACACCACATAATAGTAATAAAATTATAAGGCAATATAAGTAATTTAAATGAATTAAACTTTATTGATTATTTCAAAGTATTATCAGTTTTTTGTATTTTACTAAATTTCTATGCATAATACTATAATAGGTAAAAAAATAAAACACATTATCTTATCAATGTGTCCTACCTTATCCTTCTTATCTTGTCTTGCGTACGGGAAACAAGGAATTACAGCAGTTACTCGAGATGCAGAAGCAATTTTACATGCATTGATCATAATCAATAATTCCATCAAGTTGTCATTTACTTCTCCACTTCCACTTTGTACAATGTATACATCTTCTCCACGAACAGATTCTCCTATTTCCACGCTAATAAGAGCATGAACAAAACAAATATAATTAATATCATATTAGTGATACATATTATATATAAACACATATAAATATAAATTTGTGCTATATATTAGCCGACTTACATACAAATTTAGAGATATTGTTGTTTACTTTTTATTCTTAATATACCAACAAATCAGAGTTATAATTGTTCTCTAACATATGCAAGCAGAAAAGTAAAATCTATATAGTTTACTTATTTTAGTCTACATACTTGATTTCTTTTATTCTTAAAATTATTCCAATTAAAAAATTGTATACTTTATGATAAAAATCAAATATGTATAAGTACTAACATAGCAAAGAAATGTATTTATCATATGTTTACACACAAGTTAAAATACTCTATAGAATTATGTACTGTATTATGTATGTAGAAGTATACATTAATGTCAGAAATCATTAGAATGTGTATTAATAATTGTACTAGTTGACCTTCAAGTTAAAAATCGCGGCTCGGTAGTATACTAGAAAACCGGCCTTGCGCGACAGGGTTGTTTGTACTCTGGTAGGGTTGATGAATTAACGGGTACATATATGGAAATGACAATACAAGGGTGATAAAAATATTCTGCGCTTTATGGAAAGATATACCAGGAAGAAGGAATTTCAATAAGATTTGAAATGACACGTGGTCGGGACTTGAGTTTAATCTAATGACAATAACGTGGTTATAGCGGTGAATGCAACCATTACCATGTTTCGAGGTTACTAAATTTCTTCGTGACAACTTTTCCAATGTCAATACCGAGTCTGTCAACGATACGTTGAGCCAAATCTGGATGCGATGTGCCACTGAAGACTTTGATGTTTGGCATTCTGCTCTGTAAAAGTCGCCCGCGAGAATTTTCTAAGTTTGCGCGTAACAAACTCTTAGCACGCACTGGCTGGGACACAGGCATCACTAAAACAGAAACCACAAAGAGACTATCCAATCAGAGAACGCTTTTAAAACCGGATGTGATGTTTAATATTATACTCCGCCCATCGAGTGTTGGACATAACCGCGCAAATGCATTTCTTATCGTATATTTTTTTCCGTTAAAAAAATAACAGACTAAGAAATATCAACAAGATTATGTTACTGCTTGATGAAAATTATGACATTTTTATAAATGTTATTCATGACGTACGTTATTATTGCAGTAATTTAACCGTACGTTTAAGGGGCATGATAATAACTAATTTTATAATGTAATAATACTTAAAATTACACATTTTACAAATCATTTAAAGGTTTCAACTATATTTTTTGCTCAGTTTTATATCATGTGTAATTCGAAGTAAGTGAAGAATTAGTTTAGTTTGTTGGTAAATTTTAATTTATCTTATATACTAATTTATAATCCCGATAATTAAAATTGCTATTTTTTTACAGCATATTTCTTTTGGTGTAAATATAAAAACATGTGAGACACTTTTTTATGTTTTTATAAAAGATAAAAATAAGTTACAAATAATTGAATTATTATTAAAATTTACATTTTTCCATAATTTATAAATTGGCGCCATACCGAGCAACGACGTGAACGTAGACAAAATTCAAAAGGGTGAACACGAGCGAGTGACAGTCAACTTTTCTCATCAATGTGGCGCCGGCAGTGATTAAATGATAAATTGGATGTATCCGTGAGCGGAGATTTTAGTATAGAACACGAGTTAGAACGTTCGTTTTTCTAAGTAGAGAGAGAGAGTAAACCCAAATACTAATACCTTAAAGGTTTTGTGCACGTTGACGCATTCAGCGAACTTCGTTAATCTATTCGAATGACGATGACAGTGTACTGACTGTCTCACCGATTCGGAAGCTATGGCGAACATCGCGGCATTGAGAATCCAACGCGAATTTAAAGAGGTTATAAGAAGCGAGGAGGTGAGTGAATAATAGCTTCCTATAATTTTAGAAAGTATCGTTTGTTTTTTACTCCAGATATAATTATTAGAATTGCTAAACAACATCGTACAGTTATGTTATACTATCCCAAAGAAATTTCATGTGTGGCGTGACAAAAATGTGCCGCAATTCATTGGTTGATAAAATCACCGCGAACAAAGCGTAGGCACCTGTTGTATGGTATTCTTGACTGTCATCAGCATTTAAACTCATCGAAATTTACCAATAAAACGTTACTGTTTTGTTGCGTTCAAAAATATTTCTACCATATATTTTTGCTCGAGAAAAAAAAATTATGAATAAATTTTCTATACTTTTTAGATATTTTAATGAACTAATGTGTAACTCCAATTATGCAAAATAATGCATATTTTCTGTGTTTAAATATAAGATTAATGATTGACACATGCTTTCATCTATGAAATCTTTTGTTTAAATACGTACCATTTCCCTTAAATTTCTGTGAGCACTGACATATTCGTTTGCGCTTGTGTTGTTCTGAGAGATCCATTCTATGTGCCCAAGAATATTTGTTTTCATTTATCACTTCTACATGTTTATAGAGGGGCAGATTACACCAGAATGTCTCAATCTTTATGTTGTAACAATATGGTAAATTATCACTATAAAATATTACATCAATTCAGTATCAGATGATAATGTCAATAGGTCAGTTGGTTATATCTTGCACACAGTTTTTGAAGAATTATTTTACATGTGTCACTGCAATACCATCTTCTGTAGAATATTGTTATTTGATAAAAACTAATATGTTTTGTAATTTGTATAAAAAGTTACATAACTGATTAAGTATTAATATACATTAAACAATTGCAGTATAATAACCCACAATTATGCTTTCATGTTATTGACTTTTGTGTTTTTATTATTCATTTGTTTATAGATCTAAAAAATGTAAGATTAATTTTGTTTCATGCAAATTGTAGCCATATTCACTCATGTAAGTATGTATCTTGTAGAAAAGGTTTAATGGTAATGTAAACTGATAATGAAAATATCAGTGCTTTTTAGTAATCTGTTTAAATTTTGTTATAGGTTGCAAAATGTGCAATCAAAGTCGAATTGGTAAATGATAGTTTTACTGAACTAAAAGGTGAGATAGCGGGCCCGCCAGATACACCATATGAGGGAGGTAATTTTGTGCTCGAGATTAAAGTTCCCGAGACATATCCCTTCAATCCTCCTAAAGTAAGCACTTTGTAAGTCAATATGATTAATATATGTTAAAGTAATAATTTTGTATTATTTAATGTTAAGACAGGCTAATATAACCTAAAACATGACAAAGCATTTTCTAAGTTCTTTGTTTTATCATATATTTCAATTTTATATTTAAAGTTTCTTTTCTACAAATACTCTGCAATCATAAGTAAAAAAATTGATTTATATATATTTCTTGAGATTTAGTTATTATATTTCAGTAAGCATATAATTTTTTTATAGGTACGATTCATAACAAAAATATGGCACCCTAATATATCTTCCGTAACAGGTGCTATATGTTTAGATATATTGAAAGACCAGTGGTATGTAATTCTGTTAAATAAGATAAAAAATAATGATTTTAATATTGCTTGAAATATATTTTATATTTCTTATACTGATTTTTAGGGCTGCTGCTATGACTTTACGTACAGTACTGCTATCATTACAAGCTTTACTATCTGCAGCAGAACCAGATGATCCACAAGATGCAGTAGTGGCTAGGCAATATAAAGAGCATCCAGAAATGTTTCGTCAAACTGCCAAACATTGGACATATGTATATGCAGGTGGTAAGTGCATATTGTAGAGAATTAATTGTAACATGTAATTGCAATTTTTCTGTAAACACTAAAATTATTTACAGGACCAGCAAAGATGCCTGATTTAGATGATAAAATAAGGCGACTAACAGATATGGGTATTGAGGAACATAATGCAAGAGTTGCTTTATCTTCATACAATTGGGATTTGGAACGTGCCACTGAGCAGCTCTTCAGTTAGTGATAACTGTATAGTTAATCTGTCATATAAAAGCACTGCTCATTTTGTCATTACAAAACTTCTGTAACACCATGCCCAATTACTGATACCATAGCAGTTTCATAATCAAATTCAGCACCTGTAACGACAATATTTCAATGGCAAAAAAATTCACAGGAAATTCATTTCAATAACCTTAAACAATACTCATTTATTTAACGTGTAAAATAGGCATGAAGAAACAGTAATTAATAAAATCTATTAAGTCCAACTTAATAGCACACTTAAAAAAAACTGTATGAAAAGTATGTCATTCTTCATCTTACGTTTATTAAAAGTTTAAAAATGTTATTTAAGCCATAATGCATTTATCATTTTTTTCTTTTTAACAAAAACATAGTTTTATATGTTAAACATTTATTAAATCTCTTTGTACAAATTACTGTATATTTCTAAATTTCTTATTGGGCGTTTCTCTTTATGTCATTGTATTTGGTGATATATTTTTTTCTTTTCAGTGAAAAAATGTTTGCATGAAATAGTACTTAGTAAACTTTTCGTTTTGTTTTTATAAATCAATATCTACTCTGTATGCTTTATTACATTAAAATGAAAACCACGATTAGTTTATACTTTTATTATTAGATTTTAGTAGATTTCTTTAAGCCACAAAGAGGTTTATCTATTTAGATCTGATTGTACATTATTGAAATAGATACCAACCTGTTAGCGTTAAAAGGGATTTGTAAAAAAAATGATAAACATAAATGCTATACTGTTGATATTTAATTTCTGTACATTTTTGGTGAAGGGTTATGTTTCAGTGATTCATAATTTACTATTACTATCATTTATAAATATCTTTTTACGTATGCATAGTTTTCTGTACTCGAAGCTGGAGATGTACATTCCACATTAAAAATTGCATTTATTACATCATTAAGAATAATGGTACAAAGCAAATTTGATTTTTAAATGAACATAAGTTGAAAGTTGATAATAAAAAGCTATCAGAAATTATGACATCGATACTTCCATATAACATTGACACTTCCAGCTTATGAAATTTTAAAAACCATTTTAGATTAAAAATATTTAATGAAATTTATAGTTATATTGTTTGTGAAGAATTGCAGGTTAAATAATTTAAGACACCAATTATTCTTAAATCTCTAATAAGATAGCAGCCTATGTAGAATATATTTGAAACTTGTTCAAAAGAACTATTTGTATAGCATTATATGTGTTATCCTCTACAAGTTACATAGATTTTTCTTAATATATTTAAACAATATTGTATTCCTGGCATAGGAATTTTAAATTTTCTTTCACATTTTCTAGTAATTTATGCGGAGGCTGTGTTAGAGGTGTACTACTAGATTATACTATTTGGTTTGTTTGATTTATAATTACAGATATAAAAAATTAATTACACATGAAGTATTTTATGAAAATAATTGGTTACAGCAGCTATATAGATTCTAAATGTAATTTAATACTTCAAAAATATCAATAAATAACATTTTTTAATAAAAATAATAGGGATACTTGTACAAAAATTTCCTTATTTTAATATCTTGATTATCTATTGAGTTCAATAAATTTGTATATTATTAGTTATATTATCTAATAGTATATAAATATATAATTATCTTTAATATTATTATCTTGTTTTGAAATAGTATACAGGGCAACTACTGAAACAGTTTTTAGATTGGTAGAAAAATATTTATATAACAAATATTCATTGTATATATGCACAGCGATAAACATGTGTATCTTTAAATGGGAAATGGTAACATAAAAATTTCCTTTTAGTATTTTTTGGTAATTCAAGTTGTGTATACAGAAATTTTTGCATTGTCGTTAATAAGAAAATTTATGTTTCATATTTACGAGTTTAGATTTTGTATCATTACTTTTTTTTGAGAACACACAATTTTATATAAAATAATGTTGTTTAAATTTAATGTAAAAACAAATACGATATTATTAGTTATATCATGTATCTATTACATTATAAATGTATGATGTGTATGGAAAAAATATGAGATATTTTTATTTACTTCCATAGTAATGATAGTTATCCATGATTATAAATTCTAACTTTTTTTGAAGAGAGTGTTGCTAAATATAAATTATTACTAACATCAACTGCACACATATCCACTACAGGATCAGAAACAGGAAGACTATTTACTTGTTTTCCAGTAGATACACTCCATAATGATATACTGGTACTAGATTCTTGATATGCAGCAACTAATGTATCATTTTCAATATTTAAGTAACATGGTCGAGACAATAACTGTTGAGAATTACCAGCATGGAACGTATGTACTACATTACAAATTGTTGATTCCTCACTGTCTTTTTCTATAGTACATACTATGTGCCGTGCATGAGGCTGTCTAGCATTTGGTCGGGAAGATATTAAAGTATGATTATTCTTTTGATCGTAACACACAGATATAAACGGACCTTCAAGGAATATTTGTTTAGGTAAATATTTTGAGTCTTTCTGCTCATAAGCATAACATGTACTCAAATGGCATGCTATGAATCCACCCCTACTAATACCGCTACCCGGATTAAAAGGCACTGTTGCTAGAGAAACTACTGGTGATCTGTCGCCTGCATTGTCTAAAGTTTCAACAGCACCAGAAGTTTGTCTAATATCAAATTGTGTTATAGATCCATTTTGTGCACCCGCAAAAAATACATTTGAATTATTGCCTGACCAACAGCAGCTCCACAATGGAGATCCTGTTTGATAAGTATGCAAAATAATGTGATTTTGAATATCCATTAATTTTGCACATTTATCAAAACCAACACTAAGCAGCAACGAATGTTGAGTTGTATTAAATGTAATATCTCTTATAACTTGATTATGTAAAAGAATAAATTGACGTGGTTGAAATTTATCCGAGTCAATTTTTTTAATACCATAACCCGAAAATAACATATTAGTTGACTTCTGAGATACAACTAGGAATCCAAACCATGGGTTGTAGTCTAATACACGGCAACCGCCGTCCTTACATATCTCTATAGATCGATCTAAATGGAACTTTTTAATCATATGTTTAGAAATCTTCTGGCAAGAATGAACATTTATTTCTGATTGCTGACTTTCTAGTTCAGAGATCCTATTCCTCATACTAGCAATTTGCTGTTCAAATAACTTTTGTCTTAAAGTATATTTTGAAAGTTCCATTTCTATACGATTTTTTTCAGAACTAACATTATTTAATTGTTCTTTTAATTTATCCAATTCGCTGGTATCTATAGACGTTAACTTTTTGGCATACAACATTCTGATATCTTTCACAGCAGCTCTCCTATTACACTGTGGACAACGACGGTTGCCACTAGTGCAAGAAGTTTGTAACCATCTTAAAATGCAACTATATCCAAACAAATGTCCACATCGTAAACAACACAAACGATGATCCCCAGAACTAGTCCATAAATCCATGCATATTGGACAAGACTGGTCAGAATCAACATCAGATTCATTTAAAGTTGTTTCTTTTGCCTTTTTTGCTTTTGATTCATTTTCATCATTGTCTTCTAAAATATTACATGCAATATTATTTTCTAAATAATGTGATATTTATATATTTAATACAACATACATGAAATTTAAAATGAACTTACTTGTATCTTCTGTTTGAACTTGGATTTCTAAGTCGTCGGCATTATCATTATCAGATTCTTCAGAATGACCTTCTACTACATGTTCCATTTGTGCTTCTCCTTCTTCTACTGTAATATTTTATCAAAATTAGAATGAATAATTGTACTTTTGTATATACAAATACATATATATATATATATATAAATCCCTTTATTCTTTGATTTATAACATAAAAAGTGACTAATAAGCTTTATATTCTTTATAGCATAGAAAATAAAAAAATATTTTAATTATTTTTATGTTCAATCACACATGTACATGATTTTACTTGATACAACTTATCCTGTTAAGCGTTGTTTATTTGACATGCTGTTAATACTTACCCTCTATTTCCATAACCTCCATTTTATAAAAATCAAAAGCAATCTATCTATAGGTAAGTATTGGAAGTGCTTATTTTACTATAAGTGACTAGAATTTTTTAAAAATAAGAATGTACATATATTTTTCGCAAGAAACATAGTAAATCAAATATGGCAATAAGTTTGTTTGTATACAACAGAAATTTCGTGACCTTTCGTGAATGAATATATTACCATAAGAATCAAATATACAAAACGATTCTAAAATCGTATTACTTACAATGTCAAGCAATAAATGCTTTTTTTCTAATAATTAATGTCTTAATCTAACATTATTGCTTCGCAAACGTTTTCACCTAATCGTGAAAGATGTCATCCCAATTTTTGTAAGACCGTGTAATGTACTGTTTTTATATCAATAAAATCATGTTGTTTACAAATGTTATTTACATCTATCTCAGGAGTAATCACTATTCAATTCCTTCATTACATTAGTTATTACAAACACTTTAATATACAATAAATAAAAAACTTTGTATTTTCCATTGATGCCCATAGTGTTGGCAATTCTTCCGACATCTTTAATTTGAAGAAATTTTTCTTTTTTTAACATTAATGTTTAATTAATGTTTTCATTTTGTATTATTTGTCACTATTATAAATTTAGAACAATTCTGATTTTTTATACATATCTTTTGTATAAATACACAGTTAGATATACCTTGGATACAGTTGATAAGTTTAAATATGTAGCTGTGTAACATAAAAATAAAAGACGTATGCTTCATATTCGTATTTGAAGAAATTGAAGGTTTTTCCGAGTAAGTGTCATATTTTGAGTTTTATTTTACTTTCTCTGACAATTTAACAAATTTATCCATCGATTGTTACATTAATATAGCATGTATTTCAGTTTCGAGATCTATAAAAATTAAACAAAAAAAAGGTAATTTCGATACAAAACTGGAGAAATCGTTCGACGCGATTTGATAGCGATACCGTTTCTTCAGTGAATAAACGAGAGGAAAGGGATCATTGTTCTTGAATCTACTATAGCTGTGTAAAGACCTTGTGTTCTTCAGCGAAGCAACGGTGTTGTATCGAAGGTAAAATAATGAAGGTAAAATATTGGTTAAATTTTTAATGTATATACTTGCAACTTTCTTTAACATCGAAGAATCATCCGTTCACGTAGAATGTATTTAATAAAAAGAAAATGTTAGATAAATTTAATTACAAAATTATTTCAAAAATAGACAAATATTTAAAAATACGATTTAATTAATTTAGAAGCGGAGACCGTGTACGTGGAATACATCTCGTTCTCCAAGGAATTCACAGACACCTCCTCGTGCTCGCGAGCTCGATAACTGTCCTGTTAAAACCAAAAGTTTTCATGATTTGAAACGTTTGAAAAGAGGTAGCTCAAAATTACAAAAAAAAAGTACAGAATACAGGGAGTCTTCGTTGAAGAGAGATACGTTCAGCTCATTGGAATCTTTGTTCGATCTGAAAAAGCCTCTAAATTTACCGGACATATGCTCTTTAGCAATCGAGTATCATCAAGAGGGTCACGCGCTACCTTTTAAATCAAGAAATTCCAAGCATTCTAAAACCCTTGTAGAATCTTTATTTCTGCAACAAGTGGATCTTGAACCACACATTCTTAACCGGGTGTGATTTTGGTATTATTTGTATTCAAATTATGCAACAGTTAATAAGTAACTCCTTAGTATATTCACTAGTATTTGAAAATGAAAGTCGATAGATTGTTGTGAGCTAACTTGAAATAATTTGGGTAGACTTACGAAATCGATGATTATAACGACAAATCGAAGGAGATTAAACAAAAATCGAATTTTGAACCACTAAAATTAGAAGAAATCGAGAATTCGGATCAAGCGGGAAGCGATTCGCAGAAAAAGTATAAAATTATTTAGTTCTCGAGAACATTTTGTTAACATTGAATTATCTTATAATAAATTTATTCAATTATGAAGCATGGCCGAAGAAGAAAACGTTGACGAAGCTCTTCAAGATGAAGCGGAAGAATCAAAAGAAGAAGAAGAACCAATAGAAGAAGAAGAACCAATAGAAGAAGAAGAACCACAAAAGGAAGAGGAAGAAGGAACAGAATCTGTAGCAAAATCGGTATCAAAACCGGTATCAAGAATTGATACGGAAGAACTGCCTCCACCGTATCCGCTTCCTCCCGGTCTCGGTGAAGGTATGATATCGTAAATTCAGCAAAAGGTAGAAAAAATGCAATAAGATAATAAAAAAAAATGTATAAAGTATAATCAATTTATGCATTGTTTAGGTGTGCCAATTAAACCTGGTGGACGACATGAATCGATATTGAGTTCATCTCCGTTGACTGATAGCGTTGTACTGTTGGAAATGAAGAAGGCGGATGAACGTTGCGTCGTTCTTGCAAGAGAAATCGATCAGCTAAAGGAAGAAATAGCTGCTCTTACAACTGTAATAGTTCTGGAAATAATAAACTAATGAAACTTGAAATTCGAAACATCGAACATCGAGATTTAAAAAGGATTGCTTTGTAATATAGAAAAAAGATTTAACCGACGAAGATACGTTAATAATACACGAGAAGCAGGACGAAGTGATGAAAAAACTGGCAGAATTTGAGCAGATAACGAGGAAAATACAACGAGTACTAGGCGTGTCCGATATCTCGAGTACTACTTTTGCTAGGATGTTCAATATGCAACCCATTATGAGACCCACCGCCGTAAGTATTCTTTATCGATCATCGAAGCAAGTAGCGCGGTGAAGTGTATAGGAAAAATAATTTCTAGATCATTACCGAAGAGGAAGAACTTGAAATAGCAAAGGAGAAAATAGATATGGTGGACGAAAAGACAGACATAGAGATAGAAAAGCTTAGAGAACGCTTCGACTTACCTCAAATAGAATATCCAGAAGATAGGTATGTTATATCATTTATTTTTTTTTTTTTAGAATACATTTTTAAAATTTGTATTATTGTTTAACTAGGCTTCCAAGAGTGATTGTTTGCGGAACTACGGAGGATGAAATTCCAAAGATTGTTGTGGCAGATAGTAAAAAGAAAGGAAAAGATAGATGTCTTCAAAATTTAACTGGAAAGTTAACAGAATCGTTAACTATGCAGGAAAAATTGGTATTGGAAAATGCACAGCTTGAAGGTGGCAAGTAAGTTTTATGAAACAACTTCATTTTACACAGCTATGAATTTCATAAATTATCTGTCGTTTCTCGACATAAAAAAAAAAAAAAAAATAGAAAATCGATAAAAAAAATGTGAAAACTAATCAGTCTCCTTAACGACGATTGCATAGATTGTCGCTAATAGAAGCATGTTGACATAAACCATGTGATCTTGTCTTTGTTACAAAAATTAACTTATTGACGTGTTAGATACAAATTGGAAGAAGCATTGCTAGAAAAGGATACCGCCGTTGAAAGTCTTCAGAGGAAGGTATGCGGGTTGCAGGCTGAAATGAGAATAGTTGTGAAGGAAAATGTGGAATTGACACGTCAATTAGCTTGCTTGAATCAGCGAATCACTAGTCCTTGTTGTTACACACCTTGTTGCCCAGGTGGAATTTCGTCCGAAGTGTCAAGTCCGTCTCCTCTACGTTCGATTTCGTACACCACTACGTTACAGCAAGACGACGATTATTGTCGGTGCAAGTGTTGTCTTCAACCTCAAATCGCCGATACTTTGTCACCAATCGCAAATACTGTATGCGGTTTGTATCCCAATGACAAAGTTTTTAAGATTTTCTTTTGTATAATTTTTTTTTTAATGTAATATTAAAAATAAAATTTATAATGTGTTTCAGTGAGGCCGAATCATACATATTTACCTAGCGGAGGTGAGCTATGTCTATTATAATAAAAGAAAGTACTTTGTGTATTGAAAATTAATAAATACTATTATTTTAGATTCACCGAGACTCGCGGGTGGTGCGTCGATAACAGGAGCTTGCATTACAAGTGATTCTTCTTCGCAAATCGATATGTGTTGTCGAAGTCCTGCCGCGGTTAAAACACTGTGTACAGGACCACCACCTCCTCCAAGAGGATCTTGTCCCGCTGAAATAGAGAACAAACTTGCGGCCTATGGGAACAGTACCAAACAGCTAGTACATCTTCGAAATATGCTGCAAGTTTGGTTTAATTTTTATGTTTATTTATTTGTATATTTTATAGGAACAACAATTGGGTACCATGGAATGCGAAGTACGTAATATGCAGATAGAGCTTGCTAATGTTCAACGAGAACGTCAACAATTGGAGCAACAACGCAAGTTGCTGAAATGTACTGGCCCTTGTGCGCCTTGTGGTTGTTGTCCTCCTCCATCTTTGGGCATGCAGCAACCACCAAGCGCGACTCCTTACGTACCGTGTTCGGCTCCAATTACACAATCGCCTTCTATACCTCTTCCTAAGGTATCTATTCAATATTTCGGTTAACTTGATTGTAAAGATTGGTAAACGTTCAAAGATAAAATGTCGCATGCCGATAAAATTGTTGAAATGTCAGAAATCATTTTCCACGAAATAAATATATTTTTCGAAAATTTTCAGATATTTTATTTTTATTAAGTGTGATATATTACATAACATATAAGATCGTTTTTCGTCGTACGTAGATACCACCTGCTCCTTCTGCAACCTGTACTGGTCCTTGCATAAACGCTCCTATGGTAAGATTGAACTTCAGAAAAAGATTTAACATGAACTAAAGCAGCTATTTAAAAAAAGGGCGCTAGCACGTGTCCTCAGCAACAGTTACGTGACCTACGCGAACAATATGCACGTCTTCAAGATGATTACAAAAACAAATTATGCGAGGTTTCGTGTTTAAGAACAGATGCTGACAAGTTGAAACAACAAACGCGTGAATCTATCGAAGAGAAAGAAAAGTTGGAAATCAAACTCGTAGACACTCAAGAACGATTGAAGACGATGGAAGCTGAGAAAGAAAAATACGAAGGTGATTATTTGGAATGTTTTTCAATTTCAATGTTTTATATTATAACAATATAATTAATTTAAAACTAGGTTTTAAGGAACAGATGGTTGAGCAAGAGCAAACTTTGATCGTCTTCAAGCAACGTTTCCGAGAAGCCCAAGATGAACTTGAAGAATTACGATCCTTGATTCAAGATCAAGCCGCTCAGTTGGAGGACTATCGAAACAAATATTTACAGGTTCTTTTTTACCTTATATTTCCTTTAAATACGTTGTTATAGGTAAATATAAAAGTAACTGTGTAAAAACAGGCACAACAACAAGTGGAAGAACAACGGCGACAACTTGATCTAATGGAGATGGATAACGCACGGATGAATGAAAATGTCACATTGGAAATAGGGAGAGTGAAAGTACGTAAATATTTACGTGTGCATGATTATCTTGATACATTTTACTATCTTTCGAATAGAATCAGTTCCAAGAGAAACTCGCAGAACTTGCGCCGTTGCCGGATATTCTAAAACAAACGCAAGTGAAACTACAGGAAGCGCAACAGATGCGTTTGGTTGCAGAACGCAACTGCGAGGATCTTTCACGGGAAGTTATAGGTTGCAAAGATAAAATTCAAACATTGCAAAATCAATTGGACGTTTTGCGTAGCGAATATCAAGCACTGCAGGTTAATGTTTCCGCATTTTTCTACCAGTTCTGGTCTTTTAAAAAACGGTACGTTTGTAAACAATATATGTATTTAGGATGAAAGAGGTCACGGTTCGGGACGATTCGATGAATTAGAAAGAAGAAATACTGAACTACGACATGAGAATGAACGTATGAAAAATACGCTTGCAAGATTTGAAGAGCACGAAGCACAATTGCAGAAACGCATCGATGAAAAAATGCACGAGGTTACACAGTTGACAGCAATGCTTGAACAGGTATTATTATTTATTATATTATATTATTATATTATTGTATATTTCATTGGAAAATGTATAGTAATTCTAATAAATATTAAAGATTCGAGAAGATTCTGCGAGACAAGTAGCAAGAACGAAAGAAAGATGTGAAACTGTAAGGAGATCGATGCAAAGCCAAATTGCGGAAATGGAACGACAATTGGCTCAGTGCAGAGCTACCGCAAGAGCTGCACAGAAAGATAGAGACGAAGTAATTTATCGTTCAAAAAGCTGACATTCCTTTCTAGACATTAATTTAACTTATCTATCGCTTTATTCCTCTTAGATAAGACAGAAAATGCAGGGTCAAATAAACAACTTAAACGAGGCGTTTGAGCAAGCTCAAGGTCGGATAAGATCACTACAAGGTCACGTAAATTATTTGAAAACATCTTACACTAATATCTTTAAGGGACAAGGAGAGATGCCGCCCGGTGTTTTGCCTGGAGAGGCTGGGACAGGATTCGATTCCTGCGACTGCAATTATTAATAGGAAATTAATATATTATCTATATCAATATTTTATTGATATAGAAGTGAAAATCGTCGCACTGACTTGTTTAAATTACATGTGAAGTATCTGTTTTCATTTCTAGAATGTAAAAAAATTGTCTAGTTTGTATTCGTAAATATATTACAAAATAGTAAAAATTTATACAATGTAAGACTGATGAAATTCACTTGTTGTTACATTAATCAATGTCGCAAAAATTGAATCATTATAATACGAATGACATCTGTTACAATGTAGCAGTTTTTTTATTTATGTATTTTATTGTAATAAATTGTTCACGTAACCCTTATATGCAATGAAGTAGAAGAAGTAAATAAGAATTTTTGATGACAGTGCAAATCGATTTAAAGAAATTAAAATAGTGATCTGTACAAGGAAAAAGCACTTATTTAGTATTATATAAGTTTCATTAGTTCGTATCCACAGAATGAAGCATATTGAGCATATCTAGGATTGCGTCCGAACGCGATCTTACTCTTTCCATTTCCAATCGAAATTCTTCAAGTTGAGATTCAATTCTTCGTGCATATGCATGGCAACACCTGTAAGTAAAAGTAATAACGTATTCCATGTATGTATCATGTTTTTATGATAGTGTACAATATAGTTACCTGTCATTGCATTGCGTAGAAGTGGAACATGTAGGCCCGAGTGTAGGAGAAGAAATCTTAATTTGTGGAGGATCATTTGCCATAGAAGGTGTTCCTTTTCGAAATCCACTTTTACTTAAACTAACAGTACTATTATTACGGCAATCTCCACATCCCTTTAAAAGATCCATAAGAATTCCTCTTACCCTTTTACCACTTAATCTTCGTTGTCTCGTCTGTACATAAAGAAACAAACGTTACATGAACATAAAGTTTTTGATAAATTTGTTAAGATTATATTTATGCTTTTATTATCTTACTTCAGGCGTTTCATTAGATCGTTTAATTGGAATTAGAGCCTCTTCTTCATCATCGCGTGAAGGGCTGTGATTACATACATGTTTGTCAGAATGCTCGTGGATATTTATATTGTCCAAAGATGATTTACATCTATACGAAATATCTCTAACAGGACTACAGTATTTCGAGCCTGGACTGTTATCCACTACATTTTGAAGTGAACATCGACACGCATGATATTTGCAAGTTACTTTGCTCATTTCGGTAGTGGCGTCCTCATAGTTTTCGTGTAAATGATTTTTCGAATCTGGGGTAAATGTATTTTTACATGAATCTCTCCGAATTCCATTACTGTGAAACTTATCTTTACAATGCTTAAGACTAACATCATGCTTTTGTGTCTCATGATATAAACCACAACTACATCCTTTATCTGTGACTCCAATATGATGTGTATAACAGGAATGTAATTTTTCTTGTGAACTCGATGCATCTTTACATGTTGGCCATTCTTGATGATATTTTGAAGAATTACAGTTTTCACAAGAAGGAACACAAATATTTGGGCTGAGAGAATTACTCATATGTCTTTTGTCATTTACATCTTCTATTGATGAAGACGCCTTTATTGAATTTAATGATAAAGAATGACAACATTGAGGAATATTGGACCTACTAAATTTGTTTGGAACTTTCTGCTTTTTATTAGTTGAACACACAAGCGGACTTCCATTAAATCTCGTTTGTGATGTATTCTGCCAAGTCTGACACATTCTCTGTTCAGTTGATTTTACACAGACTTCCATATCATCTTCGTTATCGCTTATAGATTCATGACCTACCTCTTTACCCCAAACACTAATCGTTCCATTTATTTCAGACATTCTTACTTCAAGATTACCCAATAAATATGGACCACATTCTTGAATGCGATTTTTTTCATTATCTAATCCATCTTTTATAGGTTCTTCTGCTTGAATTAAGAAACTTCTATTTTTGCTATTTTCATCTTCCCTGTATATGAAACATTTTACACTGTCCTCATGATCATCTGTCTGTTGTATCTTATTTTCTGCAGATGTAGAACCATTAATATCTTTATTGACCGATGTATCTTCTATTTGTTCTGATTTTGACGTTGCATGTTCCTCAGAATATTTAAATTCTACATCAGTTGTATCAGTACTATTTTTTCTCTCAGATTCTACAGTTGTATGAGGTATTTTGAAAGGTTGAACAGAAGTAGATGTATCAAGCATTTCTGTAGCTTTTCTTTTTTTGGAACTTGATGCATGAATTGGAGAATTGTATTCTATATTTGATATCTGATCTGTAGAATTTTCATTTAATCGTTTCTTGATATTTCTTACTAAAGGACTTTCAACTTTTGTCTTCCCTTGGGTTATATTTGAAAGCGTTTGCAAAATTCGAGATGAAGTAATAAATGTTCGAGATAATGGATGTGCTAATTTTCTTGGAGTATTCCCATCAGTGAGTATAATACTATCATCAGAATTAAGAATTGGTGTCAAATCAGGGAGCTTAATGGATATAGCTGGGCTATAAGCACTATCTGCCCATTGATCAGTAGAACTTGCTGTAGATGCAACACTACTAGTAGATATTTTATTGTTTGCTTCTCCTGAAGTTACAGTATCTTGATTAGAAGTAGATTCTGAAACTGTTTCAGTTTGTACAGATGCAGTTTTCATTTCACATGTTTTATTCTGATCCTCATATTTTGCTAAAGATTTTTTTAGATTATCCAATTCTTGTTTCATTTTTATATTTTCTGCCAATACTTTTTGGTAGGCATCTCGTAAATTAATAAATTGTGCGTCTTTCTCATTGAGTTGAGTTTTCAACTCAACTATTTCAGTGTTCTCGGCATTTATTCTATCAGTTGCATTAATTTTTGTAAAATTTAAGTTTTCTGGTTCATCTTGTATTACGCGGATACTTTTAACGTTTGCAATTTTTAAAGGACAGTTAATATTGTTATCAATTTCTTGTGAACTAATTATTTCTGCTTCATTATATATTTCTGTTTCGTTCATTTTTTCTTGTCTTTGTTCAGGTAATTCTTCTCCTTGTTCCATATTAGAGGCACTGTGCATGTATTCTTCATAGCTTAACGTACGTAAATTAATAAATGTGGGCGTTGTCTGATGTCCATTAATTAGAGAAGGTTGATTTATGCTACCAAATCTCATATTTCTATCTAAAGCATTTTGATATTCGATATGACGGATATTGACATCTACTGAACCATTTCGTTTTTCTAATTTATCATCGGAATTCTGCACTCGTTTCTCATTTGGTATATCATTATATTCAGTGTCCTTTCGAATATGTTTATAATCATTTTCAATAATTCTGTTGGAGGTTTTATTATTTTCTCCATTTTCCAATATTTGTGCCGTATTGTATATTAAATTATCATTTTCAGCTTCATCACGTTGCAAATTCTGAATAGCTTTCTCAGCATAATCTTTTATGGTTTTATTAACTCTTGCTTTCAATTGCTCAGTGTCATTGTCTATAAGCAAAAAGTAAAAGTTATAGTTTACATTGATTACGTATTTGCCTTAGAACTTGGTTATTCATTCACGTACAAGAATGTCACAAACAATATTTGACTGTATCATAGCATTTAGGCCAATGCTTACTGGAGAGTATGGGATATTATTGGAAAGCTTATGAGTGGCAGAGTCCAACAAGGATGGCCACATCTTCTGAAAATGCTCCATTCAGAAAATATAGATAATATCGCCCTCAAAATTCTCTCGACGACCGTTTGCATTCGTACCGGGTCTACACATTTTAATCTATACTTTTCGAATGGGATATGTGCAGTAGCCATGCAGTAGTCTTGTTGGACTTCTATGCTTATAAGCTTTCATGGTGAACCATATTCTCTAGTGTTTTTTTGTCTAAATACCATAATGCAGCCCAGTACTTTATTGAATTATGTAAAGACATTTCAAATCATAACAACTATAATAGACATCGAATATATTTTCCTAATATGAATATTTCAATTCAAATATAATTCGATAAACATATTTCTTACTTTCATTGCTTGCATGATTTTTATTCATTATAAATTCTTGCTCTTTAATACGCTTTTCCATAGATCTTCTAGTTTGTTCTTTTATACCTTTTATATACTGTTTCACTTTACTTTCCACGTGTTGATACTTAACTGACATCATTTGCTTTTTTTGTGCAATAGAATATGGCATTGGATTTTGCTGCATACCTAAATAATTATGTCTGAAAATGTTCATGCTATGTCTTTTTCTATTATGTGACAAATGAACATTGTTTTTTGAAATGCTTAAATCTTGTAATGATAAACTTCTCTCTTTATGGTGTTGCTTTAATCTTTTGTTTAAGACAAAATCATCAGATACTCTATCAAAGCACTCCAGATCATATTCTGTCTCAACATCTTCATCGTCGTCATTATGTAGTCTCAAAAGGTTTCCTTCGTCATCATCATCATCATCTTCTTCTTCCTCCTCATCTATCATTGCATTTTCACGATCATTTTCAAGATCCATTTCATCCATATCTGCATACATATATGTATATACATTGCAATGTAGAAACGAGGTTTTATTATTTACTTACCTTCACTATCTGCATATTCATCTTCCTCTTCATCGTTGTATGGATGGTTACTTTCTTCATCATTGTATGGATGAGTACTTTCTTCACCAGAAGACAGTACATAGATACTGCCGCCTCCTTGATCATCACTAGGATAAGGACTTCGACTGTGGTCTTCTTCTATTGGGATTCTATCCGCTTGTTTTGTATTACTGATATCTGAATCTTCGCGTTTTGATGGAGTAGACACACTGATATACGTTGGCATTTCTTCATCCTCCAACATTGGTTGTTCTGTGTCATTGTTTAACATGCTTGTTTCACATTTAGATTGTTCTTTATTGTGATTTTCTGCATGCATTTGTGACTCCGTTTCATCCGAAGTACGTTCATTTCTTTGCGACATTGTGCAAGTTGATACTGAACACAGAAAACGTATTACAATTATATAAAATTATACGAGGATAAAAAGTTTAAAATAATGCAAACGGGTACTGGATTTGCGCCACTTTGTTTTTTAGATATTTAACGTCTGCGATTGCACTTTTCCGACGACCGCCATTACAACTGCCGCTGATCACACCTGCACTTCAGTCCATCTGTACATTCTACATTTTTATCAAATGCACACCATTTATTCCATATTCGTTTAACAATAATTACATTTTTACATATTATTTTCAACTAACAAACTTTATTTCTTTATTAATTGGTGTTAATCATGTATAACACAACCTTCACCATGCAATTAAACTCATAATTATTAAGGCTAATGACCCACGAATACACAGGAGTGTACTTTGCATAGCATTTAAGAGGCACCTGCTCTACATTCTGCTTTTTACATTACGTTTGGCATAAATTTTTTTTTTTGTGAATACTTGTTATTGATATTACTGATATTAATATACATATTCATAACAAGCAAATATTTTTATATCAATGGAATGATCGTTTCTTTCGATTTCTCGATGCATAATATTATAAGATTAACAATTGCGAAGATTTGTAGAAGAACTTTTGTAAATTATAAAATATCGATGAAGAGATGAAATTATTACAATGTATAACTGTTTTTTAAATTAAATTTTGAATTCGGAAATTTCTATTTTGCAACATGCATACACTACTGATCAGTTGAATAGAAGGAACGTGGAACGGAGTTGTAATGTCGTTTAAGTTGTTTCTATGCGCAGTGAACGATATTTTGTTTGTAATTATATAATAATAATTAATAGTATTGTAAGGCGGCATAATTTTACGAAAAATAAAAAAAAAACATGTCTATCGAAAGTAGCAGTGTTCCCGTGATCATTGAATTCGGGTAATATGGAATCGATACTTAACCTAACTCTTCTTGCGATCGTAACAATATACATGTATATCGAATTATTAAATAATTTCAGAGGTGGGGCAGAATTACTTTTCGACAAAAAGAAAAAGCACTCTGTGGACTTACCTGGAAACGAATGTAAGTTCTATAAAATTTCTCCCAGTGTAAAATATTAATTCGTGATGTGAAATTTTATAGGGACTATACAAAAGTTACTTTTCTGGATAAAAGATAACCTTCTGAAAGAACGACCGGAACTTTTTATGCAAGGAGACACCGTGTAAGTTATTAAATCATATATTTTTACATTAACGGTAGAACCATTTCAAGTAATTGTTTAAAATGTTTCACCAATTGATACTCCGACACTCGTGTTGTACCTCGTACTTCTTACTATAAACACAATACGTTATTATTGTATTAATTCGCACTTGCCAATTCTATGATATATAAGATCAACATGGCACCTTACGAGTTTCGCAATTTTAATCGAGAGGGCAGCACAGTTCACATTAATGGGGTTACAACTACAGAGATAGCTCATTCATTCAAACATGTAAACATTTTTGTGTCTAGATATATATAAATAGTACATGTACACGCTTATTTTATGTATTATTTTATGTTCATAGGCGACCAGGAATTTTGGTACTTGTAAATGACACCGATTGGGAATTATTGGTAAGCATAAAATTATTCGCATCATACTTAAAAAAGTTGTCCTTAATAACATTTAAAATTAGTAGTGCATTACTGATACCAGCTATAATACCCAGACACTTTCACGTGTTACGTGAATTTTCGATTACGTGTTATGATCTTTCAATTTCTCTTTTTTATTTTCCTCCTACTTATACGAGAAACTATAAAAAGTAGTCCTGTGGGATGTCAATAACGCGTTGATCGTAATCGAGATGGGGTAAGACACCTGTTTCTGAACAATTGACAAACGTCTAGCGAGAGTATTCTATCGTGGAACTTTTTGCGAGACGCATAATCGACCTACTGTGAGGTGGTTGGTTTGGACTGTAACTGGAGGATGGAAAGTAAGAGAGAAAAGATGAAAGGGCGCAAATGATCTTGAAGGCTTGCCACACCCACGGCAGAATTATCATTTTAAATTTGTAAATGTACAAAACTCGACCGCTATTAGACTCCGCTTCCTTAAGCGCGTTCGAGGAAAGAAAGAAGCCTCGAGAAGCGAGCTATGGAGGAGTCGGAGAGCAGACGCGGAAAGGATGATGGTTTCAGCCATTATTATGATAATACCGACGTTTCTCGAGGTTTCGTATGCTTCGATCGTACTGCTATTCCTTGTTCTGTCTTCTTTTCGCTCCATTTTTGCGGTACTTGCATTTATGTCGTTGCATTTTTATCGTCTTGATATACGTTTCGTCTTACATTTTTATCTTATTAAAAAAAAACAAATTGCAGGAAGTAAATTACAATTTTATTAGAAGAAACGAAGAAGTTAATATCGATAACGGTAATTTTATGAAAATTTCCAGGGCGAGAGCAATTACAACATAAATTCAGGCGACACGATATTGTTTATATCCACCTTACACGGAGGATAGGACGCATTTTTACGCAAGAAGACAAGACGGCGACTCACGAAGAGGAAATCAAAGATGGTGGTGCAAGACTTGATTCGATCGCTGCGGGCAAAATGATAATTTCGCGGGACACTTGTTTGTGTGAAGTACGCGCACACGTGCACACTGTCAGAGAATAAAATGCTCATTCGCACGACGTACGTTTGAGATGTTCCATGTAACGACTATGATATTACGGCTGACACGTTGGCCGTTTTCCAAGAAACCTCGTATTATTGCCCCTTCTCTACCTTACCAATCTTTTCTCGCTTCATAGCCAATGGGCCATATCCTGTTCCCCGTTTCCACTAGTAGAGACGCGACTTGTCTATCTCGGTACTTAACCCTTACCATTCTCGTGCTGGTATACAGCTATTCCCGCGTTACTTCGTAATTAATATTGGAGAAGATCGAATGAGAAAATAGGAAGAAATTATTGATTCTTGTCTTCATAGAATTTCCATCTTGGCGACTTTGACAAAAAAGAAGAAGAAAAAAGAAAGGAAGAAAAACGAAGAGAAAAGAGGAGAGGAATTAGCTTCCGGTAACTGCGTAGGAAAATTAGTTTCGATACAGGAGCGGAGATTATGCGCGTGCGTCGTGATCAGTTCACATCGAGAGTTAGTTGTTGGTCCCTGGTAGCTCTATTAAAAGTAACGATCGTGTTCCAACTTGATAGAAAGAAGGGAGAAAGATAAATAGAGAGGGAGTAAGAAAGAGATCTTTTCATGGAAAAAATGAGGAAACTTGGGTGAACTTCCTCTTCTGTATAATTAATTACCGGTGGTAGTAGTTCTTTACGGTACACGATAAAGATCGTATCGAAGGTTTTTCAACTTGCTCGACCGAGTGAAGTTAATCAAGCCTGCTACTCGCTGCCACGATGTCTGCGATTCCCCTTTTGCTCATCTATCGACCGTGCTCCCAGCATCGTGGCCTGCGTTCCGTTTAATATGATCCGCGAGGGCAGCGACGCGTCTCTGAACTAGATTTCCGCGATATCGTGGTCAGTCAGCCGTTGATGGAGGTCGATAGACGAGTCGCTTCATCATATAATAAACTAACGAGAAACAATGCCGCCAATTAATCACGGGCCCGCATTGCGCGGTGAAATTCGACGAAAACGGTCTAACGAGCATCGGTTGGGGAGCAATCGATGTTGCGGCTCGAAAATTTCGAGCCAGTCAGACGTTAATTGCAGGTGAGAAAGTTCGTCGACTTTCGATGAGTCACGTATCTGCTTTTCATATATATCAGAAGGGAAGAACCTTTGTACGTGATATTTGTATGAAATAACAAAAGATTCTTATAAACTCCAACGAATTCGTCTAATGTATTTTCAATAAATCAGAAATTTAAACGTATTTTGTTAGTTTATATTTCCAACTGATTCTTAACTCGTTAATTTGCTTCTCATTTTTCTTTCGTTTTTTTTTGCCATAATGTTAGCGTAAGTGCGTTCGTGTGTCGTCTGTGCCACTACGTATCTGTATTTTGCACACCAATACAATGCATTTTCAGGCATGGAGATGCGTAACCCATGCCCCCCTGTGAAACCAAGTGTCTCGATTGCTAATGGTTCGGCAGGGTTGGATGGTCCAGTGATTAATTGTGTCAGCCCTGATTACGTTACAGAGGATGCAGATCCACTATATTATATACGATCGTACATGCGTGTACCTCGCGGCCAGTCCGTAACACGTGCGTCGAACGCACTTGTGCGTGTTAGGTGGCTGTCGGAGGAGTAGCAACGTGGCCGCCTAACTGGTAGAAACGCGTCTGGTTGACGTTCGGTGACGTTGCTAATACGCAATTCTGTATCACCCATATGTATAAATCCCCAAGAAATGGTAAATCATGTTAAATGTTATATATATCGATACAATTCTAAATATAAAATATCGAAGCGTAAAATTAGAAGAACACGCGCTATGAAGAAAAGACAAGGGGAATATATTAATGTATATTAATATAATTCTATATCGTTTAACATCCTACGTCGATTGATTTATATCCAATTAAACATTTCGCCTGAAATTTACATCTAAATTTGAATAGATGTGTTGAGCATTGCTGAATATCGATGTAATTTATTAATTGATGTTCCAATTAATCTCAGCATTTCAGCTCGTAAATATTCAACTCGATAACGTCGTGGCCGCATAAATAATTCTCCAAGAGTGGAACTATTTCTCGGTAACAATTCGCTGTGCTGTGGCAGGCAGCATTACCTTAACGAGTTCCAAGTTTTAAAAAAGACGGTAACTGGACTAAAAGAAGTAATTATAGGCGGAACGGAAGGCTCGACGTCGATTCATTTGTGACTGGTCTCATTAGTGGCTTAATTTCCTGAGGGTCGGGGGATACTTGCCGCGAAATTTTCGGAATTTCTCGATGCCAGACGGTGGATTCGTATCTTTGTCCGGTCCGAAGAAATTAGGCTGGAACATGAATCCCTTTGAAATTAGGTTTCCCGACTAAAGATATTCGCGAAGATGAAATCGAGCGAGTCGGTATCGTCGCGAATTAAAGTTTCGTGTTGCTCCGCTAACGGTCGTTTCACTTTGAAAACGCGCGTATAATTTCTGTTATCTGTCCGTGCCGTGGTGCCACGAAATATAAAATAATAAAGGCAACGCGAAGCGACTAAGAACTTCGGCTATTACGATGAAACAGTTGCGCGCAAACGCGTTTTCAACTTTTAACGGCTCACCCTCGTTTCTTTTGTGCCCTCCTCGGTTTCGGTTCGCGAGCCTCTTCTGCTGCTCATTTCCTTTCCCTATCGCGAATTTACTTCTCCCGCCGGCGATCGTATTCAATTGTATTCGGAAAGGGAATCAGCCAGAAAGAGGGGATAAAAAATAATTGCCTAGGAGTATCCGTATTGGTCTGTAACGAGATTCAGATACTCGATAACTTTTAACTTTTTCCCCTTTCTGCTTCCTTTTTCTTCTATTCATACGTGTATGTATATAGTATGTGCATACTGGATGTCTCGATAGTTGCTTGGTAATAAACAAATTATTATCTTCAGAGTCAATTATTATTATTAATTACGATTAACGGTTAATTATCATCGACTACACGGAGCTACGAAATCGAGGAACGTCGCACAGTTTAACTTACAATTGCGACTGAATTCTTCGAATAGCTCTTAATAGGTCATTTTTTACCTTTTTTTATCTATCTATCTTTTAGAATACGTTGCATAAATTTGGCAGGGATCTGTTGAGACACCCTATACGTGTATATACGTACATATGCCTACACATTCTTTTCTCTTGTTGGAAATTACTAAGTGCTTAGCCGGATAATTACACTCAGCCAGTTCTCAGGCAAGCACCATATTTATTTCAGTTTACCACCATCTCGCCATTAAGCTACTAATCCACTTAATTTCTTCCTAGCCCCGGCTAGGACGGTGGTGCTCTGCTGTTTGTATTTCGATGCCTCCATCGCGCGCAGGTACATCGCAATTAACTCCCGCGGCCGAAATAAAGCCCCGCGAAATCCTGTTTCTTTTTGCCAATGCGCGGAATAAAACGCATTGCCAAATAAGAACGTAACGCGTTGAACGTCGAGGACTGCCAGACGACTGCGCGATATTAAAGCACCTTTTTTTAAGCCGCCGTTGCGGCTC